TCCGGAATCCACCAACTCTGATACAATAAACTGACTGTCCAAGCAGGCTTTCCTAGTAATACATTTAGAATCCGCGAAATGGATACCAGACTCACGTAATTAAGAGACGTTTTGCTGGATTTCAAATAATTCACTTCAGTCCAACTGTGAAAATCCCGATGCCTCGGTGGGATTCGAGTCTCAACCTTATTATCGTGGGTTCGAATGCTACCGAGGCATCGAGTTTTTCACAGTTGGGTCAAAGTGGATTTTACTCGGTTACTCCGGTGCGGTTGATGGACTTCGCCCCAAGTATTCATACATTAAATTTCGGTCTACATCAACAGACCTTAGTTCATGCTGATGTACCCCAAACTAGCAGTTACTTTCTGAGGAGACTAAAAAGCAACAATTTGACTCACATGAAGAGCATTTTAATGAACGAAATACATACCAGCGAGATAAGTGCTTATTTAAACACAATGCAATATGTTTAAGTGTTACAAACGTTTCTGCAGCATACGACAAGCGATGTACGATCAGATTGCACCTACTTCTTTGACCTGTATCCGCTCTTCCTCCAACTATGACGTCTCAGGAAGGCGAATGGCAGATGGAACTGCAATTATATAGGCCATAGTTAGTCAACCAATGGTAAGCAATGACGTAGAGGTTCAACTGACAAAACGGCTCTCGGTAATAGCTGTATTCGTTACGCGGCGCATATTTTGACGAGTAAGATTATACACTTTACTTGAAATGCCCTTCGCAATATTGCGCCAACAGGCTGGCTGTTCCCTGTACCTTTTACATAACCACCTAACACCTCTTCCTCATCATTGTATTTCATGCTATACTATGATGTTGGACTTGACGCGGTAGTCGAGAGGAGGCATAAAGCGTGGGCATCCAAATCTGTTCTCTTCCAAACCCGTTTACCTGACACAAAGACTGTTACTGTTTCTGGGTGGCACATGAACTACGGCATTTACCATAAGAATTCAAATCTACTTTGTCATGGCATGGAGCCCCAGATGATCCATGCCTCGGGGTTGGGCATGGCTGGCTGATGACGGCCAATGAGCCAAAAACGACTGTACCAGTCTGGCTCGTCTTTTTCGTCAGTGTCAGTGTGACGCGTCGCTGTGCGGCTGTTGGTTGGGCTCGAGATAGAGAGCCCCAGGGCAGAACGCGACAAGTAAGTTCCGTAACGAGATCGGCGCGTGGCCCTTTAACATGGTTATGATACACGATAGCAAACAACAGGACAACGAGCCCGTGAGTCGGCAGTCAGGGCGTTAGATTTTTAATCAACTGGATGCGAGTCCCTGCCTCTGGGATTGCATACCTCAGGGTCAGGTATGGCTAGGTGTCCATGGCTAATAAACCAGAAATGATCATTCCATTCTCCTTTGCGACTGTAGAAAATGCCTTTTCGCCACAAGCCTATTTGCAAATGCACACACGTAGAGTAGATCATCAAGCCCGCAGAATAATTGCCGAAATACTAAAATATGTTTTCGACTCGAAAAGATTACTTAAGCAATGTTGTGATATCCATTATCACGACGAATACTTCAAATATATTTCTATCACATCAAGATGCTGTCTTTCGAATGCGCCTCTCTTAGTCCGCCCGCAAAAAATATTACACTCTATGAACGAACATTTAAATGACATTAATATTTCTCATTGATTTTTGATTTCTTTATAAATTCAAGCACATTATTTTTAAAAAAACGCACAAAAACAATGCCTCCTAAACTCATTTGGTAGCAGAGGATATATTCTTAAAATGTTGTGCATAAGGAAAGATTGTTTTTGCGGCACGTGCATTCCCAGTGGCTGCGAATCGGCGCGCCTTTCAATTTTAGCCCCATTTAATTATGCTCTCCATGCATGTGGAAGTTTTAGTATCTGCACGTCTCACGCGTAATACACAGACCCTGACTGAAATCATTCGGGATCATACTGCAGGCTAATTAGCACTACAAGCCCAACTTAGTAATATTTTCTAACAAGAGTCATATGTGGGATAAAAAGATTAAATTTGCTGCAAATGAAACTTCCGTTGCAATTTTAAATGAGTACAGACACCGCTGATATTTATGGCATTCAGCAAAGCAGTCGCTTGCAAGTAACCGAATAGAGAATTCGGCACATCACCAAATTCAGCGATCCACAGGCGTGGCGACGCTTGTAAACATCCTCACCCGTCAATCAGAAAAACAAAGTCGATATTTCGATTACAAGGGCGTATACCTTTAAATCGACCTGTTGAAAGTCCAGTGAGCACAAAACAAAAGCAGGTGACGGCAGCAAGACGCCAGTTAGACGTGATCGATTACAAATCTGGAATTGAAAACAAACTGGCGAAATGACTTAAAAAAGTTTATTCCTATCTCCCAATAAGAGCAGTTTAGTTTAACAACAGGAACGAGCTTCTCTGTCAACTATAAATTATGCAGGTTGAAAATGTCCTTGGGGTACATTCTGGCACAAATAAATGGCAGAATTTTGCGATCCTGTTCACGCAGACAAAGCCCATTCAGTCGCAGAAAATATGCCAAGTCATGAAATGCTAGTCGAAATTCTAAAATGTACTTCCGACCCGAAACGATTATTTAAGTAGGGCTGTAATAATGATTACAACGCAGAATAGTCCGTAGATATGCTAATTACTTCGGCACGCCGCCTTTGCAAGAAGTTCTTTCCGACCGCCTGCAAGATATGCACCCTTTTAAAATAAGAAACTACTTATGTAGTATAAATCTTTCTTACTGAATTTTGATGCTCTTGTAAACTCAAATATATCTTTTATAAAAAGGGCCTGAAAAGATTCATTTTTGCTCGTTTGATATAAAATTACGTGTGTTTTAAATTTTACACCATGCATGCAATTTGGTTCTGAAAAGTTTCTTATAATACGATTTTTAATACCGTCAAATGTCTATTCGTAAAACACCGGGTTTCTGACTTTACTAATATTCATTGTAAAGTTTATAATATTGCCCAAAGCCACTGTTAAATTTTATGAATCCCATATAATGATCACTTATAAGCGTAGAGAAATTTACGGGTTTTCGCTCATGGAAAATATACAACATGTAGTTTGAAAACCCTGGATGCAGAATTTATAACCTTTATTCAGATGTCGAATTTCTCCGGAAAACCTTATTATAGACTTGGAATGATCCTTTCCGTAACTCGGGAGAAAATATATTCTGCGTTCACTGCCCAATATCTATTAGCAATTTTAATGAAACCTACCTAGTAGGTTGAATGTATAATTGTCATTCTCCTAGTCCTGCGTAATGCATGGACTGTGCTGTTACTATGTACTTTCTCCAAAATGTTTTCTTTCTGTTCACATCTCTCTTCAGTCAGGGCGAATAACATAACCGATGGCTCCTTCCACAAATTTAAAATCGAGTGCCAGAGCACCGGTAAGCACGTACGGCCAGTTTATAACTGATAATTCCCCTCACGTGGGGGCGGAGCTATGGCTTAATCGCGACATCGATTCGTTCATAGTTACTTCTCGCGATGACTTCAGTCATTTGAATCAACAATTTTCGGAAGCGAACGGTATTTCGCTATTTCCGCTTAAGTCCTATTCCTTTCAGATCTCGCCTGTTTTAACATATTTGATTCATGAATTCAAAGATACCTGATGCCTGCCGTACTGCGAAATCACTGTCATTCCTCGAAAGTCTTTCAGATTTTGTCCTAGGTCATTCTGTCCAAAAGCATGCTCCTCCGCGTTGACAACCCGATGCGTCATTCTGTAGTGATTGACTCGCGTCGTCCGAGTTCTCGCCTACAGATAACGTCGAGGGATTCTTGAAGCCATGCACTCCGATGACTCGCGCATCAATCGGCGCATTGAGCTGGATGCCATGTACAGAAATCTCAGGGAAAGGTAGTGGAGACGAGAGTCAATCAGTACAGAATAACGCACACGGTGACCTCTTGCAGGCGCAAACACTACATGAATGTAGTTTTTTAGCCTGTTTAAAATGCAAAACAAAACAATCCTTGGTGATTTGGATCCAACCAAGGGCCTCCGAAAGACTCATCGATCGCTGCGGATTGGCTAGTTCTCTTAGCATCACGTAGACCGGCCCGACTTGACGGTTTCAAGCCTTGAATTTCGCAAAAAAAGGTTCAGGGTGAGAGGAAACAGCGTTACCGAAGTCAGCTGGCCACTTTCGAGATCGGTGTCCTTCTTGCTCACCAGCCAAACGGCAGCTTGCCAGGCGGTCAAAGATCCCGAGTCACCTTTGCTGCAATCAGCATGCTACCGCCCATCCTCCTGGTGCTGGATGAGCCTACGCATCAGCTCAATATTGAAAATGGCAATGGCCTGAGTGAAGCGATACTAAATTTCAACGGTGGGTTGGTGATGGTTTCTCATGACGAGCTTCTCATATCCTCTGTCTGAAACGAGGTCTGGGTTTGCTCACCGTGCCACTTTGGATCCGCGAGGAGGGTTAGCGTGGCTGGGTGAAGGTGGCTCTACGCACACGGACACTGGACACAAATTTGGAAAGGAAAGGCCGCGCATTCCTGGAGGCAATGCACTCGGGGGGGGGGGCATGCATCAATAGGCCTATCGATTTAGATGCCACATACAAATTGCTCAATGACAAATTGAAGCGAGCGCAACCAATGCCGAGGGAATGAAGAAACACCATTGGCGCGCATTGGCGCAGGCTTTGGCCAACCATAGAACCCCTAGTTCGACCCGGTTAAATGTTAACCGTTTTGTGCATAGCCCAAAAGTCTAAAGACGAGCTGGAGAACCCGACCCGAAAATTTACGCATTAAAGGTTATTCTCTTCTCAAGGAATCTTACTTATTGCCATGTTAATTGTTTAGGACGCCCGTTTTCCATCATATATACATTAATTTCTATTTTCATCATGAACCGCATATCGTACACAAACATCATTTAAACAATTAGGAAAGAAACAGCTTCATATGATCTTATCTGTCGACTGATAATGCGAGATTCATTATTAGATTTTAAGGGCCTTCACAAAAAAATCCAGTCCTCCTACTAAGGGTACTGCACTGGGAGTAAAGCCAAACATGTGCACGAACATATTGGACAGAGGATGAATCTTAACTCCCAGCTTCATCAACATCACGCCCACATAGACGTCCTCATTGGGCAGGGGGCGCGTGAAGGCTGCGGCAACGGAGAGTTTGGGAATCAGATCGGCGCTAATGATGTAGCAGGGACCAATCGGATAATCTGGATAATGTGGGAACGGATAGTCTGCAGTCCCCGTGAACCATTTTGACCCAGTGTTTCGAACCACCGCTCTCCTAGAGTTAATTGAGCCGAAGATGCTTCCACGGACTTCGGGCAGTGAGAACTTTGAGAAAACCTGGTGCAGTTGTGTCACATTGATTCCATGGTCGTCGTCGAGGAAGACGAATGAGGGACTGGTGTGCAGACAGTGGTGATGAACATAGCGCAGATTGGTGATCGTCTTAAGGGTCAGATTTAGGTAAGTGTCGGCGTAACTTGCCAGCAGAATGTCATCGAATTGCGAGATCTCACTGAGCAGTCCGGGCGGCATTTGGCCATTCACGGGAAGCCCTAGACTGAAGAGGAGGCCCACAGTGGCATTGATTGTCTCAGCCTGTCGATGAATGACCTCGCGCAACTGTCGGCGTCGCGCAGAGTTAGCGAGCGCGCTCTTTACAATGATCATCGTCGTGTATGAATTGGCTCTCCCCGCCGCACAGACGGACATGCTGGCACGAACTACCGAGAGGCTGGGGTTGTTGATGGGTTTCTGCATGTGCAAAGGGAAGGTGTGTCTTTCAGTCACACATTTAAATTTTTGAATTCAACTACAGCTTATAAAGACTGCTGGAGTTAACAGTTTGAAAAGTTGTATAGCAAGGCGCATGCTTAAATTTTGACACCATACCAAAAACTGACACTGTCTAGCATGCAGTCAATACAGTTCCCGCACACTTCGTGGGAGGAGGAGTCGAGTGATTGGATGGTATTTTGCTGACCAGTCGTTCTGTAGAGGAACTACTGAACAGATACAAAATGCACATGGAAGGCAAACCCGGGTTTCAAAAAGTAGTTGAGAAGGAGAAAAATAAAAATAAGCGAGAAAGAAGGGACAAAAAAGATGCAATTGCCAAAAAAGAATAAAAATCGCATGGCGTTTCGAGTTCTTACTCGAGCGCATTACCCGAAACAGTGCAGATATGGTTGATAAATGCGTGGGTTCGTGAATTACTAATCGATTTGCCAATAGAAGCGAAGAGACGAGTCCCAGGAAGTAGTCTTGATGAGGGAGACACGATCGCTGGGACAAGAGCTTTATTAGCCTGACGTTTCGGATTCCTACTCGAATCCATCATCAGAGACAAAAAAGCAGAAACGGGTGGTTTTTGCACAAGGGGCTGCGGTATTTATAGGATGCAGTAGCCATGCTACCGCATACCTATGAACATTCATGGCTCCCCCTTCATCCGGGATCGTCGCAGTTGGTGAACTATCTGGCTTACACCCATTGCACAGTTTTACAATGAATGTCCAGTAGATGTCTAATTCATGAAATTTCAAACAAAATTTCGAAATGCGTTCTCGTTTCGAAAAGATAAATTAAGTAAAATGTAGAATTAATCATGATGCAGCATAAGTCTTTAATGCTTTCGTTACCTCAGGGTATCGGCTTTCGAACAAATTTATTTTCGGCTGCATGCAAGATCTATACTCTGCAAAAAATGACTTCTTAATTAGCTTGCAATTGTCTCATTGAGCTTCGATGCCCTTGAAACTTTAATTATATTTCATGGAAAGCATGCATAAAAATATTCATTTTTTTACCTCTTCGGTAGAAAATCACGTCTTCTTCGAATTTCATGCCTGTCGGTTCTGTTTAAATCTGTTAGGCGTCTATCAGCATAACAACATGTCGCCTTATGAAATCCTGTGTTCGTACAACGTCTCCACCGGTAAATTCAAGCAAAATCCCGCTTTTATTGTTAAACCCCGCCTTATTCAACTCAAACAAGTCAATAATACGAATCTCCGGAAACCTGTTTTTGAATTTATACTCGAATCTGGTTGCAAGCCAGCATACATGAAATCACAGTAGTTTTTTAACGATATTTAGATGTACACTTCTATCAAAATATATTATCATGTGTTATTTTATTTGCACTTGAATATTTACTATGTTTTTGGTATGAGAATCCATGCCGTACATCTAAAAACGAATTTGGCTAAATTACAGCTATTTCTGACGTTCTGAAGGCATTAAGCTGTTCCAAAGAAATCGGCATTTTGAAGCAACGCAACACTGCCGTAGATATTTCTTTTCACTCTTTTTCACTCTTTAAGACTTGTACGTTATTAACATGGGAATTTTATTCATGAAATGTTGCCGATTTGCAAAAGACTGGCAATCATTCGTAAATTTTAACATCTTGCATGAGTTAGGTCACGCTCTGTAAATCTAATGTAGTTATCCTGTCATCGGTGATAAAATTATGCAAATGCTGACTGGGATCTGGTAGATCAAGTAATCCTTACACCATTAACCACTATCAGTGACCAATGCTGCAGTTAGTAATTATAATATACATGTGATGGCAGGGCAAATGTATCCTTTAATTATTCCCCCCCCCACCGCCCGTGCGCCCATCGCACACATCTGCTACTGCCTCTGATACTGGGTTGAACGGAGGATCGGAAACTTTCTTTCAGCATAGATTACTACTCATTCTGAATTAATCAATGGGTAAACTCATTAATCAGGCCTTCGAGAATACCGCAGAGAAAAACAGATTTTTCTGGGTGGCGCTCCACTGTTCAGGCCCTATGCTGAACGTAGACAGGATATCCTTTTTATCCAGAGAGCGGTGACATGCACCTTCCCACTGATTTTCGATGGTCTTGGAAATTCAAATATATTTTATAGAAACCTCGAGTAACAATACACGTTTAGTCGTTTGATAGAGAATTACGTCATCTTTATATTTTATATTTGAAGAAGGAGTATGACTAGGTTTAAAAAAAGCTTTTTTTATTTATGGGAATTTTTAGACCGCGCAATGTCCATTCATATGGCATCGTACCTGTCCGTTTATCGCTGCTTCTTTTGAAGAATGCAACACAGTCCATTGCAAAATTTTCTGGACTCTATATGGTATATTTCTAAAGACATAGAAGAATGTATGATTTACCTTACATGTAACGCACGCACCTTGTAGACTAAAATGACTTAGTGCTTATGAAACGGCTAATTAGGTTCTAAATTATTCGGGAATTCGTAAACATTTTAAAACCTTGGTACACTCCTTTTTTATATATAAAATATAAAGATGACGTGACTATTTATCAAACGACTGAAAAAACCTATTTTTGCACGTGGCTTCCAGAAAAATATATTTGAATTTGCAAGGCCATAGAAAATCAATTGGAAAAATGCGTGCTACCTAAGAATAAATTTTTACCGAGAAGGCTTTCTACAGGAGATTAAAACAATGTACTCAAAAGCCGACATTCTGCCGAGTTAGAAACATTACGGGATTTTGCCGCAAGATACTCAGTATCAGAATAACATCTAAGTAGTCCTTCCTAAACGAAGACGTATTTCAGAATTTCAGCCAACATTTGATGAGATCGGTCACTCACTGTACTGTTAAACGCAGACAGGCTATCCCTTGACCCAGAAAGTGGGGGTATAGACAACAGTAGAAAATGGAGGAAAACTGGGCATGCGTCTTTACAGACAATTTGTACGTCCGACCTGAATATTATGCTTCCACTTATGTCTGACAATTTCCGTTTTTAAAGAAACAGAAAAGTTGTGGTTAATGACCCACGCGTCCCATTCTCTTTATCACAACGCTTTCCCTATTCATCAGGAACGGTGCTCGTTGCAAGGATCGGTTGAAAGTTCGTTCCAAAATAAAGACGAATAACTAATTGTCGCCAGCAATCCCCATCGTCATCATTATAAGTACCATCAAGAGGAGGAGAGGGAGGAAAACTAGAGGATGGAGAAGGAGGTAACGACCAGTAGAAATAAATTGATGGTTAACTGACAGCTCAACCGTCGTTGCCGACGATGTCCAATGTGTGATCCGCTGAAAGATGACGCAGAAACAGTGACATTCATTACTTTATGGCGAATGTAGGCATGCGGAGCAGCAACCGCACTCTTTCCTCTTCCTCTACCTGGACCGCGTGTCAAGACAGAGTCAAGAAGACCGACGGCGGGAGGACGCTGGTAGCTGGCGCGGGCGGGCCCTCACCTAGGCGTGCCGCCAAACCCCTGGTCGACTACATAAACCTAACCAAGACTCTTCACCTCTAACAACACCCCAAGAGGCGTCAGAGCGACGAGGATAACTAGGCAGCCATGCCCAACACCTGTATACCCAGCGGGATGATAATGGCCCCCCAAAGTGATAACCAATGACCGTGCATAAACTACCCCGATTTTGTGACCAACGATCAGCGCAGATACTCCAACTTGTGAATGCAGTAATGGCTCATGTTCTACCCGATTTAGATGAGAATCAGCACTTCAGTTTGAAAAACAAGTAAATTTTACAAACACACACGCACGCACTGTCTAACTGGCACTTGGGAGTGTGCAAATGAGACTGTGGGCGTTAGGTGACGTGGTGCAGGATCACGAAAGTACTCACTCCGTAAAAATAGCCTACAACAGCCCGCAGAAGGTTACATTCAGAAGCAGCCATCACAGTCTGACCTCTGAGTCTCGAGAGCAGAGCTGAAGACGGGAGAAGCCGGAGGAGACGGCTTTCTGGGCCACAACTTTTGGCGCGGCATGTTGTTGGCTTGAATTTAACGTGGCTTCGTGAGGAACGACATCTCCGCTTGGTGTATTCAGTTTTGAAATCACCAAGCCAATATAATTGTTATCTATCAAACTTGGTGAGAGTATGCGCCTTTGGAAGAGTTCTCTGGCATATAGAAGAAGATATGCTGTGATCGATAAATAGGACAGTCTAAATTCTAAGTTGGCAAAGATAGGGTGAATGACCCCACTTATCTTTCGCTAGACTGTAGATCGTGTCCGAGCACCTACACGTTGACGCTGGCAGTATCTGCAGAAGTCTGCAGATGAATGACAATTTAAAGCTCCATATGATACAATCCACAGTCTACTGACAGTTAAGTGGGATCTTTCAACCTACCGTTGCCTAAAACCTAACCCTTCAGCTCTGTATGCGGCTATTTTGACTGGCAACATTATTCCTTTGGCCTGACATGCGCACATGTGATTTATGCCTCTATATTAGCGATGCTTAATTTTAGCCACATTAACCAGCCCCGATGGCGGCTCAACCAACTGCAGAAATGACAAGAGAATCAAAGGCGAGCTTTCGGTTTGGAGAAGGCGCAGAAGCACACCGGTTCCGGCAATAGCCTGTATATTCAGGCGGGCAGTCAGCACAAGGAAGGCAGCAGATAATACTCGACTTCTGCAGCATTTACCACACTTTTTCCTTTCCCCAACTGAACTCGGTGCTAATACACAGTAAAGAAGATCGGAGGCGGTATAAGACGCAGGTGGCTAGCACGGCCGGACCCCGACCTAGGCGTGCCACCCCCCACCCACCCCTTGGTTAACAACATACACTTGACCAGAATTTTTCACCAACAGCAACAGCCCTACAGGGGTCAGAAGGACGAGGATGATGACTAGGCAGTAATGCCCACCACTTGTATACCCAGCGGGAGTGCAAGCGCATCTACCGGCAGGGATTCAGGTGTCAAAGAACTGTCATTCCATAGCATACTCCGAGGGCTATGGGTTGCTGATGCTGGCATAGCACACGCTTTCAGACCTTAAGACCACACAAAACGTGGTCTGCAGCATTCTCGCCAGGCTACATCAGTTGGTGTGCCTCCCAAATAAGTGGTAGGTACAGGTTCAGTTTCTCAGGGTTTCACCCAACCTAACAGTGATAACTAATTAAGTCGTATGCATCTTACAGAAGGCAAGTAATGTGTTGTATTGCTTGTGTTTATATGTGCTGCCGTAGATATTCGTAGGTAGACTAGGAGCTTCTAGTCCTAGTTTCTCAGTCTCCCAGCTATGAATTCTCACGTGATCAGTGATAGCACTGTGGTTACTGGGTTTATATTGGCTACGACCCCGATAGTGGTGGGGATACTGGTGTTTGGATGGGATTGCGTCGATGGTTGAGGAGCTTTCGAGTGTATGCCGCGTGTTAATTGCGTTGATTGTCGCTATCGTGCATACACGTAGACTTAAAATTATTCTCGTCGCGTGTGAATGTCCTGAAGCAGTGTCGGTAGGTAAGACTAGTGCGACAGGTACCACTAGCGCCTTCGTTTCGGGTCTTTTTGTGATGGATTCGCCAGCGACCTCCCAGGTCTACGTAAGATACAAATGTAGGGACACAGTGAGAACAGAATGCAATTAAATCATTATTGTTGCCGGTCGAGTGAGGTGATGCTTAACAGAATGGTATGCAGATGTCCACAAGTGATGCTAATGGTGGAGATGGTGGTGGTGGTGACACTGTTTTGTGAGACTAGAAATCGAAATACAACTGTGCGTGCGAATTACAGTGGGTAGGCTAACTCACGAGATGTCAATCGAACTTCTGAAATGCATTTTCGTTTTAAAAAGATTAATTAAGTATGGTTGTAAAACTAATCAACCTACAGCATAATTTTATAGTAATTTCGTTACCAAAGGATATTGGCTTTCGAGAGAACTTCCTTCCGGCCGCATGCAAAAACTACTCTGGAAAAAATGACTTCTGATGTAGCATGAATTTTTCTCATTAATTTTCGATGCCCTTAAAAGTCAAATTATATTTCATGGACACAATGCATGAAAATATTCGTTGTTTCGCTCATTCGGTAGAAAATTACGCCTTATTCCCATCCTATACCCGAAGGAAGGAGATAATTTGGTTTTAACAAAGTTTTTTATTATGCGATTTTTGATAACCGTGAAATGGCCGTTTATAAAAAGTTATGACTTGGCGTTTACCAACGTGGCTTTTAAAGTTTACAATATGGATCAAATTCAATGTTAAATTTTATGAACCCTATATGGTCTCCTTTGAAAACCGTAGAGAAATGTGTGGTTTCCTATACGCGGAAAATACACGGCTTTAAGTTTGGAAAGCCTGACTTCAAGTGTAACGGCAGAGCGGGTTCAAAATTATTTGGAAATAAGAAAAGGTATTGAAAATCAAATTATATCCCTCATTTAAATATAGGATTTGAAGAAGACATAATTTGCTACAGAATGAGCGAGAGAATAAATATTTTCATGCATGTTTTCCATAAAATATGGTTTCATTTTTAGGAGCAGAGAAAATCAATGAGAAAATCAATGCTTCTTAAGTAGTCCTTTCTTACAGAGTGTAGTTTTTGCATGCATTCCGAAGTAAATTCTTTCAAAAGCAGACATCCTGCGGTAACGGAATTATTATAAAATTATGCCGTTGGCTGATTAGTTTTACAACCCTACTTGGATTTTCCTACAGGCGAGCCAGAAGGCTGTGAAATGTTGTATGTCCAAGAAAAGGAAGTACACAGGTGAAAATAGGAGTCAATTTACAATGGATATTTACTTCAAAATTTCACTTACTTTTGCATTACCGTAAGTCGCCAAATCTAAACAGCTTCAGTTGCTAGAAAAAGGAATTTTGAGCAGGCACTGCTAAACTAACCTCGTGTACGACCTCCTTGATAAAAGCATAAAACGTATTCTAGGGAGACAGTATGCTGGACTTGTGTTTTTTTTTATTGTGGAACTGGGTAAATGTGGATATGTAACTATTTTCATCCAGCAGAATACTGCGCGTCCGCGGGGCAGAATTCCGGGAAGATTAGTTTCGAAAACCGTTATAACAAAAAGCTCGTTGTTCAGTGTTATAACATCGATCAATCAACAGTCGACGGCAAAAGAACTTGGGCTTAGGCACCAGGTTTTGAAAACAAGGGGTTGGGCCTAGGTGGTAGACGGGTCGTCGGTGCGTCCGTCAGTGAACTCGTCGGTGCTTATATATACACATATATGAGGGTACATATGTATACATAGTGTAGGCGGGAGCGCACCGATTGTGCTGAGGTAACCACTCGTTGCGTCGTGACTGAGTGTTCTCTCCCTAGTTACGCCAACAATCGACAGGACGGTGAGCTTGTGGAACAATAGAAGGCGGCGTTGATCTTCTAACCAACAGGTCGCGAGTTCGAGACTCGGGTGTTCCACACTACGGGGTTGGGAATGGCTGACTGATGATGACCAACAAACCAAAAATGACCACTTCAGTCTCCATCGCCTTTGTTGGTAGTGCTATTCTACTCGTATATTTTGCCTAAAGATCGACTGGAGGACAGATCACGGAATATGTTGTACTACAGCGCCCTGGACCTTAATCTAAACCTCGTACAGGCCGTTAAAGGAAATGACGACAAGGAAAAGAGAGACTGAGTGACAATCTCCGGCTGAGCAAAATATCATCGGTTTACGATCAGACATTAATAAAGCAAGATTTCTCTGAAGATCAAAAGAGAGCCAATAATAGACTTACAACGTTCATTTCCAATCCGTAGGTATAGGCCAACACGACAGTTCTAAGATCCAGGTCCATCGGATAGGCCTGGTAGGCCTCAGGGATCCGAATCCTGGACCATTCACCTTGCGGAAGGGTACCCAAATCCTCAAAAGACAGGCATTTATCACCCTGAGTAGTATTCACCGCAGCTGTAAAGAGTTCTCTCTCAGACCGACAGGTCCGTAGACCAGCATCTATCACTCCAGAATTTCTTTCGCTGAGAGGCCGACAGAGCTCAAGGCTGTCGTCTGTGCAGGTGCGATAGAAAGTAGTTTCAGGGACGGTAATACTGGCATTCATGGTGAAATTGTCCAGAAGTCTTGCCTCTGATACGCCTTGCGTATGGCAAACAAATCCGTACACAAGACACAGACCTCCAAAAATGGCAAATACTAACATACAGCGATTTCGTTGAGCAGAAATGGCTCCCAGAACTCTCTGTCTTTGCCTATCTAATCCGACAAATCTGAGCTGAACCATGACGCGTAATCACGTTTAAGCAAGTCCTTACTCCCTGAGAGCTGCAATTTATAGAAGTGACAAGGTTCTGAAAGTAAGAGGACACACTGGGAGTGCGTTTGTGCTTGACCCACGAGAAATGAGACATTAACTGACCTTCAAATTCGCTGTTCTCGCCATCAAACGTGACCTGGCGTGGGCAGACTGCATAAAGAGAAGTCCTTGAGTAAAATTAATACTGCTTAGTGTGACGACTGATTGCTCGCAGGGATAAACCTAGAATGCTGCGTGCCGACTCCAGATTAGATGTAGGTCTTACCCAGTTTTAAGCCAAGAATGGCGCATTTAACTACTTGGGCCAAGACAGTCCTCTTTTTGTTGCTTGTTCAACTTTTAGACCATTGTTAGGGGTTTTTGACAAGGATGGGCAGAATCCAGAGATAAACGTATATCCAAGCTGTGGATTCGAATACACGACATCAAACTCAGCACTCGCTTTTACATCATTAAATGCATCAAAACTGTACCAGTGCGACCGATAGTGCCATGAATCGGTGTACCGACCTAAAAGATTTCCGAATGGCTAAACCACAAACTCCAACCATAAACAAAGGAATGCGAGAATTCAATCGAAACTGTTGATTGAATTTATAAACAAAATCCGAAGACTCAAAATTTAGCCGGATATAACGATGGTATCCTCCAAAGTGGTCTCGCTATTCACGTCTATACCAATCGATTTGGCAAACCAATGCACAGAAGAACTCCTGCAATCCTTCGCCATCGATGTTTCTACATCGGCTTTGCTTAAACTCTTGGACTTCAGTCCGGAAACAAACTTTTCGTTCACACATGATCACAATCGACAGCTTAAACGAACTTCTATGAGGTCACCAATTTCTGGCTTTCCGGTTGAGGTCACAGTGCACAAATTAGAGGTCATTGCCCATAGAAGCGATGACGAGAGCCACAGAAACTGGTCGATAAGAAGAAAAGGGGGCGATCGTTTAAACAAGAGCTTTATTCGGCCGGACTTAGTTATGTAGCCTCATCTGAAGTAAACAAACCTCAGTCAACTCAAATGCGGGGCAGATGGTGATAGGGTTTCTAATAGGCGGGGCCGGGAACACACAGGCGAGGAGGCCAAGTAGGTTTATGCAAAAGAAAAGCTATTGGGAATGCGCGGTTGTACTTTGTGTGGTTGCGAAATAGTAGCGCTTTCCTCTAACCCATAACTTTAACCTCTAATCCTAAACCACAGCCCCAAGAGTATTTCATTCCTCGGGTGGGACAACCAAACCACATCTGACCCTTTATTCGCCGGACATTTCGGATTCTCACTTGAACCCATTAGCGGAGACAGTAGCAGAAAAGGGTGACTCGTGCATAGGAAGTTGCAGTATTTATAGGATGCAGTCGCCATGCTACCGCATACCTACAGCAATTAACCGTGCTCCCTTCATCAAGGATTGTTGCCCGCTGGTGCGCTAGTTGCTTGATGGCCGACATGCCAGTTGTTAATTGCTGAAGTCACACCACCCGTGTTGGACGCCTGCGTAGTGATTGCTCGGCAATCTGGCTCACCGGCTTGCGAGCTCCCCGAATGGTCAATTACTTTGACCAGCCTATTCCTCAGTACGGAATATGGAGTGGGGATGTCGATGCACTTGTTGATAGACTGAGGTCCCATGAACCATGACTCAAGCAACTCGGTTCACGCGAACCTCCAACACGGATGATGAAATTGCGGCAGTTAGCGACTCGGAGGCGGACTGACGAGCCATCATTGCATTTAATACGACCACAGAGGTAATCGCGAGAACTGTCAATTGGAGTACGCATGCGGTCCCATGGCAGCAAAGTACTGTAAATACAGCAGTTTTTTGCCTCCATTGACCAAGAAAAGACCAGATGCTGTGAGTTCATGGGTGAGATCGGTACAAATCTGCTCCTGCAGAGGATAGCTGAACAAGCCCGCGAACAGAGAATGATACGCGACGCAGCACTGGAGAAAAAATTTCGAAAGCTGCCCAATCAAAAGTCGCCAAGAAACGACAAACGGGTGCACGACCTGTCATCAAAGGAACTGACGAAGGATCAGATGCAGGTTTTACGGCACGAAGCTTCATTTAACACGGCTAACGCCAAACCTGTTAACATGATTGCAGCAGTGGGAGTAATCCTTTATCAGACGGAGGCAACGAAGGAGACTAAGAGTCTCATCCGACACCAAGTGTCGTCTCTCCTGATGGCCCACAGGCCGCGGGAAGTGCTTCCCAAGGTCGAACGTGATGCGCTTAGAGAACTCAAGGCCGACAAAGACCTGGTCATCGTGCCAGCGGACAAAGGACCCGCACACTTGTACTGGACAGGACAGACTACCTTCAAAAAGCCAAAGGTTTACTGGAGGACCGACAGTTCTATGTCCCATGTGCAACGAACCCTTTAAAGGCGCCGACACGCGAAATTAATGCTACGTTGTTGGCCTTGGAGAACTCAGGTGCAATAACACCTACCGACGGACGCATGACGAGACCCCAAGATACGGCTTTGGCCCGATTCTATGGCCTCCCTAAGGTGCACAAATACGGCGCTCCTCTCCGACCTATTGTGTCGCTCAAAGAGACTCCAACGTACGGACAGGCTAAGTGGCTGCTCCGGCGTCTCAAGTTCCTGACCGCTGAGTCAGACACCACGGTCTCTTCGTCAGCACAATTCCTGGAGAAACTCAAAGGCGTAAGCATCTATCCAAATGAGGTCATGGTATCTTTTGATGTTACATCCTTTTTTTCTTCTATTCCCCAGGACCTGGCGATCGAGATAATTGAACTGCTACTACAAAGCAAATACGATGAAACGGAGAACCGTCTTGTACACGCCCAAATCCTTCAGCTCCTGAAGCTCTGTCTCAGGACGTACTTCGACGGGACAATCCACGAACAGGTGAAGGGCACATCAATGGGTTCGTCGATTTCGGGATTCATTGCCGAGGCGGTCCTGCGACGGTTAGAGTCGCTGGTCTTCCAACGCTCCTCCAAGACTGAGGTCCCCTGAACCATGACTCAAGCTTCTCAAACGATAACCCCCTCTCCTTGTATCGGCTCGCTTGTATCGGAAATTATGAAGCGATTTTGTCATGTGATAGAAAGCAGCAAGTTCCTTTGGGTGGCGTAGGCACGCCAGCGATCAGTCTAGACACAGTTCTACGTAAGATATAACAGAAAAATTAGTTATTGTTTGACGAAAATGTGGGCCGTACGCAGTTATACCTACGTCAACAAGAAACTCTCCGGCAATTCACATTGTGGTGGCATCCATAAACCCGGTGGCTAAGCATTGGGCGGTCAAGGATGTGAGATCAGCTTAAACCACGCACAATTAGTTCGTTTCGTCTACTGTCAGAAGTCAGGGAGCGGTGAGGACTAGTTTATTCTGTACACAGGGCAGGTTGCCGTAAGTTGGCTGTTTGCTTGCAACAGAAAAAAGTGTCCGTTCAAGGAGAGCGTCAGTCGCGATGTGTTGTTTACGCGGGTGTGAATATCTGCGTCAGCAGGAGGAGGTGACTGTCTGGATGGTGGTGGTGTGATTGGACAATTTAGGGGAGGAACGGAGGGCGCATACTCACAAGGCCTCACGGAAATCAAGCCAGAGCGTTCGAAGCGCGTTAGGTGATACTAGTTTGTGAGGGCAGCCGGGAGTCACTGCAGCTGGACAGGAGGGGCCCCAGTTCTGGCCGGTGTGGTTCTTCGTGTGTCAGCGGCCTGTCAGTGCTTGTCGCGGCCATCGACCGACAAAACGAAGCCGGAGAAAAGGGGGGCGGAGCGGCTGCTACAACCCCCCCCCAGACACCAAACGAATTGAAGGCGTCGACATGCTAGCCAGCCACAAACCTGTCGGGCCAGTGGGCGTGACGACCAGATCGTGTGAGGTGAACCGGAGGGGGACTGTCGCCAGTAGGTGGAGGCATCCCTGTTTGCGGAGGGGTACAGTGTTGGGGTGAGGAATGGTCACTGTCGTCGATGTAGGCCGACTTGACACGATCAATGCTGACTGTATCGGTCTTGCCGTTGCGGTCGATGACAACATCTTTGTCAGATCGACGAAGGACTTTTTACGGCCCGTCATAGGGTGGTTGGAGTGGTCGTCGGACAGCGTCATGCCGAACCAAGACGAAATCGCACTTGTCCAGGTCGGGAGGGCTGAAGGAATTGGCCGGTGACGTCCAAGGGGGCGTTGCGCGGAGATTGCGCATGACACTACGCTGATGCTCCACATAACTTCAAGGTTCGAAAAACGTTAACCCAGCGAATGAGCACTTCGAGTCGCATATGAGTGCGTAACGGTTTCCGAGCCATACTAGAGGCTGGGAATGAGCAATTTATCTGGCCTTAAAATGATCAGTGAGAGTGTGAGAGGCTTTTGCGCGTATGTGAGAATATCCGAGGGGGTGCTATGGCCCATTCAAATGTCTCAACTCAAATTCCTGACACCGCAGTCGTATTTGCAACGGAAGTTGTGCTTGGGCAATGATAGAGAGCAAATAGTGGCAATTAGGATGCTTTGGGTTTGTGTAAAACTTACGTAGGAGAAAGGGGCGTTGTTGTACCATCAGATACGGGCCTATGGACAGCTACAGTGCGTAACCTTACTTATGAAATGTGTGGAAATTTACGAATGATTTCCAATAACACGCAAACCGACACCATTTCAACAGTACAATTTCCAGGTTTGTAAAGTACACGTTAAAAAGAATTAAAAACATGAAATAAATATTAGGGGAACTGTTTCGTTGTTTAGATATGTCGATTTCTTTAAAAAAACGCAATAGACCGAAAACGTTAGAAATGGCTCTCATTTCGTAAACTTCGCTTTTGAGTGCATATAATGTATTATCCTACCAAAACCCTAGTAAATACGAAAGTTCACAGATAAAATAACGTTTGGTAATAGTGTTTCAACGAAGTCCAAATCTCAATATCGTTTGAGAATAAGCGTGATTTCATATATGCCGGTTTGTAAACAGCCTAAAGTCCGAGTATAGATTCCAAAACAGTTTTCCAGGGATTCGTAATATTTTTGACTCGTTAGCGATCGGAAGATAACACTCAATTATTTTTTCCATTATCATGCAGCAAATCGAAGTAAGGCTGATTGGTCTATAGTTGTTTGCCAAGACCTTGCTTCCGACTTTAAAAATTGGAGTGATCCGGACAGATTTCCAATCGGCGGGCAAATAGTCAACTTCTAACAAAGCCCGGAAAAGCATGGACAACGGTTTAGATAGTTACGGATACAAACGAATATGCGAGTTTCAGAAATGACTTGATCAGAAGGAGAAGCGATCGCTGGAACAAGGTCTTTATTCGCCTGAAGTTTCGGATTCTCACTTGAATCCATCATCAGAGACAGTAGCAGAAAAGGGTGACTCTTGCACAGGAAGATACAGTAGTTATAGGATGCAGTCGCTATGCTAACGCATACCTATAGCAAAGCATATTTATTTTTTAAAGCTTGTGTTAGCTATGGGAGTACCCTGTTAAGTTTTTTTCTATGACATATGGTACTAATCTCTCAGAAGAACGTGCAATAACTCATTAAACAGTACCAATCCTTGGGTGTGTAATCGGAAAAAGCTGATTCCCAATTTATGATGTTTAGTTCAGCTTTCATTTGGACAAAGTTACCGCGTCAAATGTTTCTTGTAACCATGGTGGCTTTTTTCCTGAACTTTTTCAAGTTCGCCCTCACCTCATATTCCTTGGAGCATCATCGAATTTTCCGTTACCAGACGGGACCTATTTCGTACTTTTCCAGTTTATATTTTCCATTTTAACATCACAATGCACGTAAACTTAAGGTCTTGATCAGAATAATTCCATAACGTAGGAAATTATCTGAATATCAAGAAAGACCACATTTAGCCCAAATCTAGTCTCTTTTCCTTCAAAAAACGGACTTGAATTGAACCTTTCCTCAGTAAATGGCTTTATGTGTCTGGGATTATTATAATAAATAACAATAAGGACACCAAATGCATGATATACTTCTCGCTCAAATTTCGCCCATAACATTTATGAGTTAGGCCACCTACGGACATTTTGAAGGTAATTCAAAGGGCTGTAGTCTTGCGCGGCGTAGAGGACTCTGAGATAACGGGCCAGTGGCTGATAGATATAACCCCTTAATCTGCTGTAGGTGCAAGCATATGCGTTATATCTAGGTTTGACCTGACAGATCTGTTCTTTTGTGTGTACACAGCAAAGACGTTATCTCTGTAAGGTCGCTACAATGTTCGCTTTTGGAGATCAGCCAATCTGAACCTATCTGAGCGTCGAATTGAAAAATATCTATTGACAGTTTCAATACCCTTCCCGCGTTTGCTAGCGGAGTACGCAGTCCGAAACACGCACCTAGACACGCGCATTTACATCCCCACATCACGTTAAGTACATGATCGAACAACCTGCCGGATATCGTCGGACGCGCTGCTCAACGCTTATTTCAAGTATGATCAAAATCAAGTTGGTTGTACTATACGGGGTCGGAGTGGTGACGTTCTTGGTCCTCCTATTTATCACCTACGAAGCTGACCAATTTTTAATCAACCACGTGGCTCAGAAGGCCTTCAATGGCAGTCCAAACCTGTCTAGATTGACACCACTTCCTGATGTCGAAACGACCGAGTGGGCTCTACACAAACCGCCGGCTGCCTTCCCAATTTGCTCGTACCAGGAGCCCTACGACCTCTCGTTCTGCCTTCCAACCAGTGAGAACAGTAGTGTGGAAACCGTGGAAGGGAAGTGTCATCCAGAAAAGGAATTATTTCCTACTCGTGGCAACAGATGCATTTCCTATGATATGCTTCAGACAATGCCTGACAGCGTTTTATCCACGGCCCGTCGTCCAGCTATATACTCGGTCTACCCACAGGATATTCCCCTTCCCACAGTTGTACAAGCCGTTAAAAACAACAGGCCAATTCCAGTGGTATTTACCTTATTTGCTAAAATGCAGTACATTAGTATCATACTATTTTACCGTTATATGTATATATAGAGTAGGTGAGCTAACTCATGAAAAGTCAAAGGAAAATACGAAATGCGTTTTGATTTCGATAAGATTAAATAAACAGGGTTGTAAACCTAATCGCGAGGCATCGTAATTATATAAAAAAAACTTCGTTCCGGCTGCATCTCAAATTTTACTCCGTAAAAAATACTCTTTAATTAGCGTGCATTTTTTTTACCGATTTTCGAGTATCTTAAAAATCTGACTATTTTACATAGCCATCGTATGTAAAACTACTCATTATTTTGCTCAATTGGTAGACGGTTACGCCTTCTGCCAATTTTATAGTCGAAAGAATGGTATAATTCGCTTTTTACAAACGTTTTCAATGTCCGAGTAATTTTTAACCCGACCTGCCGTTACTCTTGGATCCAGGATTTCTCAACTGCATGCCGTACATTTCTCTACGGCAAGAAGAGGATAATATATGGGGTTAATAAAATAAAGTAGCGAATTAGAGCCATATCGTTAACTTTACAAGCAACATTGGTAAGTGCAGAAAAATGACGTTTTACGAACGGCCATTTCACGGTATTAAAAAGTTCCCGAATTAGAAACTTTTTAAACTCGAATTATACCCTTTCCTTCGAGCAAAGAATTCAAAGATGTAACTTTCTGCCAAATGAGCAAAAAAATAATTTGTTTATGCATTTTTCTCATAAAATATATTTGAATGTTTAAGGGCATTCAAAATCAGCGAAAAAAATTCAGGCTTTTGAAGTGGCAATTTTTTACGGAGTATTGTTTTAGCATTTAGCGGGAAAGAATTTCGTTCGAAAGCCAGCATCCTGTGGTAACTGGATTATTATGAAATTACGCTGCAGGCTGACCAGTATTACAATCATGTTTAATCAATCTTTTTGAAACTTAAACGCATTTCCAAATTTCATTTGACGTTTCATGAGTTAGCTTACCTACTGTATGTCGGGAGTACGGTATAATACGTCTGCTATATATATATATATATATATATATATATATATATATATATATCGCGACCTGTTAGTTAGAAGTCCACTCCTGTAACCACTGGTTCACGAGCCCATTGCCCTATGTGTGCGTTTGTGTTCGTGCGTGTATCGCATACATTGATACTTTATGCATAAGATAGTAAATCGATTTCGAGGCGCGCAGGCGTAAACTTTACAAACAACGCTTTCGCAGAAAATGTGCCAGAATATATCCTCCACAATGTTGGAAGTGATGTATTAATAAATGAAATCCTCACCGCAGCACCACAGCAAATACCATTGTGATAATTGTTGTGGCGTAGAATTAAAATTTTCAGTTGAGTACTGATTAGAAAGTTCTAGTAGGTCAGGTTCATTATAGCATGCTCGCTCGAGTCTTACAGTCCAAGCGAAAGCCTTTTCAGCCTGCCTAAACGCAAATATTCATCTTGAAATAAATAATTTTTTTCGTTTATCGCGCATAGGGTACTTCCATGGCTACGAACATGTTGTTTATTATGAGTTTATAACGGACTGCGTAATTATGTCACTCGCTGCATTTTGGATGCGTTCACATAGGAATACGTGTGGACAGGTAATTGGGTCGCAACCCAACCTTTTACAATGGGAATTTCAATAGAGACTTTCGTGAATGGAAACGAATACTCTTCCAGTAGCCATACCATAGGCCCAGTGTATATCCAAAGATACATTGTTATTATCTGTAAGCGCACGTTTTAAACCTTAAAAGTACGAAAGGCCCCGTGATCCCTTTTGGGGTAATGTTTTGCTCGGCTGAGAGGTATATAGACGAATAAGCGAAATTTTTCTTTCAAGCCAATAGATATTGCGAAACAAGCAGCCTCTGACTAAGTCTCGTCTTAATCACCATTCACGTGCACACCCTTCTAGCATGACCGCATGGAAAATTAATATCCGTCACACGGCTGCTTGGCAATTGGGTTAAGTGTCGTTTGCGGCGACTTAGGATCTAGAGCAAGTCGCAAGCTTAGGTTTGCTTCTACGTAGATAAGCAAACGGGCCGCGAATAACGCCGCACATAAGGCAATCTTAGAGGGTGAATCATCCTTTGTATTGCTAAACAAATATGTCAAACGCCCCTCCCCCCGCGTATGTTATAATTTACTCTTATGCGGAAAAAGGTAGCCCGTCAGAGGAAGATACGACAACTAAGACAACAAGTTTTCTGGCCTGAATCACTTGAACCCATCCTCAGGCGACATAAAACATATAAGGGTTGCAGAGGCACAAAGACTGCAGTATTAATAATACGCAGCCGCCTTGGCACGTCTCGTGATCACCGCTGTAAAACATTCGACCGTCTCACATTATGTGTTCAAGGGTGAATCCGAAGCGTCCGGCCAGCAGACCTCTTGTTCCAGTGATCGCATCTTCTTCTTCGTGTTCCGCACTGCCTGCTGGAACTCGCTTGTTTGGCAGGGCAACCCATGCTAGTGCTTGTAGGGCGCTAACAGTAACTTTACATTACTGTCAGGAGGCTGAAGTTGATATAACTTTATTCACTCACGATTTGGCCCATATATCCTGTTAAATTTTAAGCAAATTCTCCAGTGAACCGCAAAAATTACCCCAGGATGAAAATGCGCTATCACTAGTAGAAGTTGAGTCTCGTTTATTAATCCTAAAAGAGGACATACTTAGATGCATATCTTCTCATTAATTTGCTGGGGCCTCCTACGTTCCTTTCAATGGGTCATAAGCCTTCTAAGATACTTCTAAGAACTATTTCCTAATTCTGAAAAAAACCAATATCGCAGGCGGGTGACCAGGTTTAGTGGTCGAAAATGGGGATCAGGGCCTCCATTTGCAACAAGCAGTTATATTCAAGGGAGGTACCTATTTCTTTGTCTTAATTACAACATCGACACGCCCGGCGACAAATATTTCACTGTTTAACCTTTTTGTTGAATGTATGCGTGAGAAGCCTGACAGAGGCGTGGCTCGAATAGGTAAACTTCAAACAATGCCGGCGATTACCCCCCCCCCCTCAAATCGCCAGACATCGTTGTTGGGCTTGTCATTCCAGTCCAAAGCGTGGGTGTGTGTTCAAAGACATCGAGAGGCAGATGTTGCTTATGTCACCGCCGCCATCTCGAAACGACCGCTATTCGGTTTGACCTTGAAGACGAAGTTGACACAAAACTCAGGATTTCCAACCACTCTGGACTTTATCCTTATGCATTGGCAATTCTCAAGCCTTGCCATTGCAGCCGCGGGTAAGAATTCAACAGAGACTGCCAAATTTTCGCAGCAACATATCAGTTTGGATAGATACGACTCTGGTAAGCGCATATATTTACAAAATCAAAAAATCGAATTTATTTCACGATAGAAAATAAACTTATCACGGATAACGAGAGATGGCAATGGGAATAAGTACCTGTGAATACGGGATCGGGAAAGTTCTGAAGCAACAGCGCAAAACTCAAGCCGTCTCCACTTAATTTCACTTAGACCTATTAAGGAGTGGTTTTTTTCATTAACCTGTTACTCAGCGACTCATACAGTGGGTGGGTTAAGTCATGAAATGTCAACAGAAATTCCGAAATGCGTTTCCGTCATGACAAGATTAATTATTTAGGATTGTAAAACCAATCCTCGTTAAGCATAAATCTATAATGATTAAGTTACCTCAGCACGCCGGCTTTCGCACAAACGTTTTTCCGGCAGCATCCCAACACCATTCCCTGCAAAAATTGAATACTTATTAGCATGCATTTTTTCAGTGATTTTCGTTGCTCCTGATGATTTAAATGTATTTCATGGAAATCATGCATAAAGGTAATCATTATTTTGCTCATTCAGTTCAAAATTACGTCTTCTTTCAGTTTTATGCCCGAAGGAAGGGTATAATTCGGTTTAAAAAAGTTTTCAATTATGAGATTTTTTAATACCGTGAAATGACCCTTCAAAAAGTGTAATGTCTCTATATTCAACAATGTGGCTTGCAAAGATGAAAATGTCGCTCAAATCCTCTGCTTTATTTTCTGAACCCCATTTGCTACAATTTTCATACGGCAAAGAACTGTATGGTTTATCGAACGCAGTCATTTTACGGTTTGTAGTTTGGGAACCCAGAATGAAAGTGGGTGGGGTTCAAAATTATTCGCGAATTGGGAAATTTCTATAAAAGCAGATTATACCCTTCCTTCAAATGTAAAATTTGAAGAATTAACACGTAATCTTTCACAAAATAAGCCCAAGAATGAATATTTTCATGCATGTTTTCTATGAAATATAATAAATTCATTAAGAGCATCAACAGTCACCGTAAAAATGCATGCTATTTGAGTAGTCACTTTTTTACGGAGTGAGGTATTTTAATGCAGCCAAAAAGAAGATTCTTCGAAAGCCAGCATGATCTAGGGCGGTGATCGCGAGAGGTCTTGAGAACAGTACGCATATGGTGCCAAGGCGGTTGCGTACTATTAATACTGTAGTCTTTGTGCCTCCGCAACCCTTGCCTGTGTTTTTTGCCCCCGAGAATGGGTTCAAGGGAGTCAGACAAGTAGAATTGCTGTCTTAGGCATCACATCTTTCTCTGATGGGCTGCCTTTTTCCGCATAACTGTGCAACATAGCATACGCGAGGGGAGGGGCTTTTGGCATATCTGTTTAGCAATACGAAGGATGATTTATATCAGGTTTTAGGAAGTCACAAAACCGGGAAACTTGTTAATATGCACTTCGCTGTTTACCCTCCGACATGGGGTTGAAGTGCAAGTGACGATAAATGTGGTGGAATTTATTTTTCTAGATTGCCGCATATTTTTTCATGTATGCTAGAGACTACTGCCGCATTTCAAGCAGTAATTGTCAGAGGTACATGTAAGGAGAGGTTAAAATTTTGCGACGGATATTTGGTGCAGCTAAGCTTAAATTAATCGGACCGGGTTGATAATCTGAGGAAAACAAAGTGCTCACTGAAGTGTTTCTTCAACGGATAGAACACTTGATGGTCACCAATTATCAATCAAAGCTCTGGGCTCGTTACGTCGATGACACCGTTGCCATTGTCAAATCATCCGACGTGAAGTCCCTCAAAGAATTACCGAACTCGGTTGACCCCAATATTCAATTCAAGATGGAAGCTGAAACAAACAATCAACATCCATTACTCGATATACTTGTGCGTCGGTGTGGAACTGGGCAATCACAAATTACCGTTTTAAGAAAAGCCATCAACAAAGACAAATACTACGTCTCAACAGCAATCGCCCCCTCTCTCACAAACGCAGCTGTGTCAGTACTCTATTTCAAATAAGTGAAATACACCAGCCGACAAAACAGTTGCACGACAATACGTTCATGAACTCTTTCAAACCAATGGATACCCAAGCTACTTCATCAAGCAAAGCAAGTGCCGATCCAACAGACGACGGCCACAAAAAGAACAACCAGAAGTCTGAAGGACTACTCCTTACATGAAAGGAGTCTCCGAGGCGGTTTCATGACTGTTATAACCCGCCAGGTTAGGCATTGCCCATCGTTGTCGTTTGATGCATCCTAAACATATGCTGCCACCCACAGAAACTTCAGCATTTGTCTATCAAATACGTTGTAACGAAGGAGACTGCAACTACGTTGGGGAAACTAGACGGAAATTGCAACCGTTTACATAAGCACAAACTGGCAACTCGGAGACTAGACTCAAACTCATAGTTTGGCGACTTACGTCAGGGAAACTGGTCACAATTTGGATTTTCAAGGAACAGCCCTCTTAGGCTGGAGCACTTTAAGGGCAGGGCGTCTTAAACTTGAGGCATAGTACTCAGATGCCGACTCTATCAACATGCATCTAGACTTTCATTCAGCCTATAAATCCTTACGTCATTCCCCACGCCTTGACGAAGACAAAACGCTCATACGGAGCCTAAGACTACCGAGCAAACGCGGCCTGTCGACCAATGCGTCCAAAAGGGGGACGCAAACGCAAGTAACTCCAGTTGAGGTGACGACGCACAATAGAGGAGACCACCAACACTTACCGGCGACGACCGGTAGGCCAAGGCAGCGAAAAAAGAACAAAAGTCGACCAGCCCAGCGCCAACTAATCCGGATGTCCATTAAAAATTCTGATCGATTTTTCACTATATGCTTTAATAATGGAAAGCCGCCCCAGGTCTTCGAAACGTCAGCCATGCAAGTCCCTCCATTTTTTCAGGCTTACCAATGTCAGGGCCTAATTTTTATGTTGGCGTGTGACACACAACGGGGAAGTTATGTGCCCGAAAACTCACGCCTGTCAGAGGACATTGCTTTTGACTTAAAGAGGATTTTTCTGGTCAATGGGTAGGAATCGAATACGCGTCTGGTGTTAGAATTTCGACTTGAATTTAGCATTTAGGGTCAGCAGTTTGGTATGCTGGACGTAAATCAGGGGCGTTAATGAGTGAAGACTGCTCCTTCATTCTTCGCCGAAGGCCATATTGGCCACAAACTCTCTTCAACGGCGCGTAGAGGTTTCACATCATGTCAGATTTTACGCACTGGACGCATTTTTCAGTTGTGACTTATGTTCAGATCGAGTGTTCAGGTTATTCCACCAACTCGATAAGTGTTGAAAACTACTCTGGTAAAGACATACATGTGCACTGAGAAAAGTAAACTAATGTCTCTATTTTCCATTTTGTCCTGGGTTTGGGTATTTTCGTTATTTCAAGTTGGTTTACGATGAAAAGCGAACGCCAAATTAATTTTCTCGACTGCGTTTTCACCGAGGTTCTTAACCAGCCTATTTGCGGTGTGGCCATTAAGCTGAAGACAAGAGAAGGCTTTGAGCTGCCACATATATTGACAAAATGAAAGTCTTCGGGAGAATTCTTTTCCTCCAACTACTGCTCTGCTAATTCGCAAGATGCTTCATATGTTTGTGTGTGTGTTTCTTGAATGCGCCCGTTATCAAATGGATGGCCGTGGTCTGTCAACATTTATAAGCCGACACAGTTCTTCATAGATTCAGATATGTACCTTCTGCTGGTCTGGGAGGCATGGACTATATTGGTGTGGTTTATACAACAGTTTCTGCACAGGGGATAGACGGTGTCTTTTTGGTTTTATTTTCCTGTTATTTAAGGAGCAAACCGCTGCCACCAACAGGGGAAGAGCCTCACTAAAGCGTTAGACTTATTTCAAATTGTACCATTATTATAGTTCGGATATGACTAACTCCTGTTGTTGTATATTTTGTTCCCAACAGCGTCCTTGAACTTATAATCTGTGCCTGTTAACCATAATAAAATTCAACGCTTAATATTTATTTTTCACTTCCAGCATCCTGGATTAGAAGACAACACCTCCCACGAACGACTTTTCAATGAAAACTTTACACGTCTTACGTATTCAACTGCCAGTTTTTTTAGGGCAGCAAAGAGTTTTGCCTGGCGTAACCATGGTAGGTTAGCCGTTAACGTACGTTTGTAATTAGTTCCTCATCAAGGAAAATTTCCCCCTCCCACTAGCACCGATGTACTGCCTCGACAAACTTGACCACAGAGTGATCTTTCATCTGCAGGTTCACTTTTCCGAACACAATTTTTCCCTATCCTTTTCTGCCTGATCTTCTAATCTTACTTGCCGACAACTATTAGCCCGACTTTAAGAAGGAGTTCTTTTGCTTTTAAATGGTGTCCGATCAGGAGATGTTTTGAGATCGTGAAAGTTCTACCCCTAAATCATGCTTTCCGTCCTTTTATTAATGCTGCTTGTAAGGCATACAACATGGCCCCATTCTACTGCAAAATTTAACGAGCCCTAAACGATATCTTATCATCATATATAAATATGTGATTTTTCCCGCAGATGAAATAAGGACTTTGTAATTTGGAAACCATGAATGCAAGTGTAACGTCAGATTGGGTTCAAATATTTCGGAAACTGGAAAGTTGTCTAAATCCGAAATATGCACTACCTTTAAGTATCAAATTTAAAGATGACGCAATTTTCGGCCAAATGGACAAAGAAATGAATATTTTCGCGCAGTTTTCCTAAATATATTTAAATCTATAAGCACATCAAGAACAAATTGGAAAAGTTCATACGACGTTAAGTGAATGTGTTAACTCATGAAATGTAAATCGAATTTTGGAGGAAGTTTATTTAACTCGAAAAAAATAACTTAAATATGATTATAATATTGGTCGCCATGCAAAATAATCCCATAATAATTTAGTTTCTTCGGGATTCCGGTTTTAAATGAACAATTATCCGGTCGCCTGCAAAAAACACTCTGCTAAGATTGGCTACTTATTTAGTATGAATTTCTCGCGTGGATTTTCAAGGGCGAAATAAATTCAAATATTTTTCATTAAAAGTATGCATTAAAATATTCATGCATTTACTCCTTTGGTAGTAAAATACGTCCTCTACTAAGACTATACTTATACTAAGGGTATAACTCGCCTTAGAAAATCTTCCATTCTCGATTAAGTTTGAAGCGCATTTGCCGTTCCCTTTGAATTCGGGGTAGCAAAACTTAAAGCTATATATTTTCTTTGTACGGAAAATCATTTATTTCCCCACAATATTGGGAGAAGACTATATGTGGTTAATGAAATCTGACAGTGGATAAGAGCCAAACTATAAACTCTACAAGCAAAATTAGTAAATACGGAGAACAACATTTCATGGTCTGAAAAATCTCATAGTTCGAAACTTTTTTGAAACTACATTACACGATTACTTTAAGAAAAAAAATAGAAGACGTAATTTTTCAAAAAATGAGGATGCCTTTACATGTTTTCCAGGAAATATAATCGGATTTATAAGAACATCGAAATTCGGTAGGAAACGTTCGTACTTAATAAATAGTCGGTTTTTGCAGAAAGCAATTTTTGCAGGCGGTTGGAAAAAAGTTTGTTCAAAAGCCGAAATTCTGTGGTAATTAAAGTAATAAGAAATGATATCGCAAGGCAATTATTATTACAACATTGCTTAAGCAATCTTTGCGGATCGAAAACGTATTTCACAATTTCGGTTAGCACACCTACTGTAAGCAGTCGTGTAGTTTTTGCAAGAAAATCCTTCAAAAACCGACATTCGGATGTGAGTGATGGATCCTGCTATCATGCCGCGCGACATTTAGTTTTATGACACTACTTAAGCAATTTTTTCTTATCAAAGATACGTTTCGGGTTTTCGGTTAACGTTAATGAGAGAGCACATCCACTGTACCAACATCATGTGTTCTTTAGGGTGGGTAAAAGTAAATTTTGGCGTAGATTTTGAAACCCACTACCACACATTTTCAGGCCCCTTTCAATAACCCCAAACTTGTACTGCTACGCACAAGTCAGTCTATCTGCCCTCTCACCGGAAATCGGAGTCGCGCACGGTACGACCTAATCATCATTGTTAAGAGTTCACCAGACAATGCAGCACGCCGGTCTCAGCTGCGACAGCTGATCAGCCGTCAAGCGGCCACGCTGGCCAGTCCTGTCGGGCTACTCTTCAGCCTAGGCGTCCCGGCCGACACCGTCAGCCAATCACGACTCTTGCATGCCATCAACGATGAGGCCGACCGTTTTGATGACATCCTCCTGACCGACTTCATGGACACCTACTATAATCTGACTCTGAAGACTCTGGCGAACCTGCGATATGCTCATGTCGCCTGTCAGGGAGCCGCTCCGCTGGTCGCCTTCATGGATGATGACCATGGCCTCAATTTGTCAGCTTTGCTCCCCTATTTTCGCGCCTTCGACGAGCGACAGCTGCGGCAATCTGTCTTCGGCCACATACACGGCACGCCAAAAGTCATCCGTAATCCGGAGCACAAGTGGGCCCTTACGAGAGGCGATATGCCCTTCTATATGTATCCGGACTACGCCGCTGGTCCATGCTACTTTATCGGCGCGGAGGCTGTGGAAGCAATTTCGATAGCCGCAGCCTTCACTAAGCCGTTCTCCATGGAGGACGCCTATGTGGGCATGACAGCGACGAAGCTGGGCATCCACATGCACCAGTTGCCAGGTGTATACCTTCATGGACCTAAAGAAGGATTATTAACACAACAGACGTCACTAGTAGCCTTGTTGAAATACTTCGAGCAGCATACGCCTTAGAACTACATGTAGTATGTATATATATATAACCCTTTTTGTGGCTTTATCAAATGTACGCCTGTTTTAAAACGCTAACGGGGATGATGCCATTTGTTTTTGTTAAGCATCAGTGTGCTCGGTAAAGTGTTGGAAATTCCGCGGTTTCTGAGACCATCGAGAGGGATTTGTAAAATTAAAAAGAAATTTATAAAAGAATACATCTACTCTCGATAAGTTCTTTTCAGGCCTGCGCATTGATATGGCTATTGAAAAAGCAAATCAAAAGATGCAGGACAGTAGATAATTATGCTGGTTCTCGGGTTTGAGGGGAATGGAGGGGAGTGAAGCACCGAAATTCCAGTGATTCTCATTGTACGCCAGGCGTCAGGAATCTTGGACGCCACGAAAGACATATTACTTAGGTGCGCTAAAATAGGGGCTATCTGAGAACTACAAGATTTAAGAAAAAAAGGCGAGACACCATCCGGTCCGGCAGCTGTTGATCCACGGACCTGTTTAGGGTGTTTCTATACTGTTGCCAAAGACACGGGTTGGAATGTACACGGTGATAGGGGAATGTCATCTAAGGGAAGATGGGAGTCATTGTGACTAAACATAAAATTTTTATTTAGGGAGTCTTAATTTGCATCCACATGCACCTGTGTGTTGCGATGGCCAGTGAGACGCTTAAGGTTTTTCCAAATCTCAGATGAAGAAGGGGGAAAAGGGGGTGGAAAGGAAGAAGAGGAAAAAGGTTGGCTAACAAACAGGCTATTTAGCCTGTCAATATCTGTTTTTATTAAGACGGTAACGCCCTTAAGGCTGTCACCTTAGCCTAGCTTGTAAAAGAGTTCTTTATTACGTCTTAACAATTTCAGACAGGGGGAGGAAATTCTATCCGGTCGTATCACTACAGTATCAAGAGGGCAGCAAATATCGAAATTTTATTTAAAAACGCTGTTAGGTTAGAAAAACAGGATTCAACATTCGATTGTTCAAGGAAAGTGGGGATAGCAAGAGAAATGCAAGTCGGATGCAGGATAGTGTTTTGTGCGGACTTGTTACGAATATTAACCTTCCTCTCAGGCTTGACTATTAGTGCACGTTAAGAAGCGGAATAGATACTTGGAAGACACAATAAAGCGAACTGATCAGAAACTGGCAATGGAGCTTTACTTTAACGCAAAATGCTTGCTGTGGTTAGACAGAATATGATCAAGAGGGGCATCTGCGCGTGCATTAAAGGAGACAAGATCATCGAAGGCTAACAGTGTTAGGGGACATAAATTCACGCGACTAAAATCACCGCATAAGATAATAAGATATTCGCAGTATAATATAGCAAGTTTTTGTGAAAGAAGGTCGAAAAAACGGATAAGCGCACCTTCACGGTAAGACGGGGGAATTTAAATACTAACAAATATAATGCCATTATAATTAGTGACACTGAACTACTATTTTCTATGTAAGCGCATTGCTGAATTATTTGGGCCAATTTTACGAAAGATCAGAGGCAAAACTCGCTATTGGAAGTGAGTCAAAACTTTGAATTAAACCTAAGGCACTGCTAAGTGCTGTCTGTCGACTTCGGCAAATGACACGATAAACAGGATAAATCTAGCTCATTTTGGCCTTCATTTACCGATTGTGTCCGGACATAAGCGAAATTGAACTTACTGCCCCTCCAGTCAGCTTTGTGGTGGGCCCCACGGAGTAGACTTGCGCGATTATGGTTAAACGGGCTTAATGATTTACGGTAACACTAGGGTAAAGGGCCCCATTTAACCGTCAGGAGACAGTGGATCCTGTCATACGGGGTTTTTTCCTGGCATCCATTTGTAGGCATTTGGCTGATATCACACTGCCATCAACGATTACTATTCATGACTGCAAACCATTACTCAAGTTCCTTCATTTTGGAAAATTTGTTTTTTTTTTTGTTTACTTCTTAATTAACACACTCATTTGGCGTGTCATGCGAAAGCGTACAATAAGACTTTCGGCGGAACTCCAGACAACTTCTGTGTCTTCTTGCATTTCGTCAGCTTACTGTCGGCCTTGCTGCCCTACCCGTAAAACGCTCATTACCACCGCTTTCTTTTGCCAGAATTCACAGACTGCCGACAGTTAAGTGGGCTCCTTCACCCCAGAAATGCCGATTTTTCATAAGCGGAAGAAGTCCAACTTGTAATCTGAAGACCCGGCAATGGTATGGTTTGTACCTGGTATCAGCAACAGATAGCTCGAGGACGCTGTCTAACGGAAACGGTGGGGCTTATACGGGTGGGCATTCGGATGCACGCAAAAGTAATTCGATAAAAAATGAGAAAATGAGTAAAATAGCATCGAAAGCCTTCCTATGCGCTTAGAAGGTAAGCAACGAGTAAGCGCAAAAATTCGAAAACCTAACCAGAAACGGTAGTCAAGGAAATTCGGGCAACTGAATTAACCGTCGCCAGCTGAATAAATGAAGGTCAGGTTTCAAGAGGACTAGCAGCCAATGGGAATTGACCGCGAGCGTTAATCGAAAGTGCAAATAACGCAAATCGTGAGCTGTACCAGAAGACGAAATAACAGCCAGTAATTTGGAAAAAATGCAAAACTTAGAATAAGAACGAAATATAACAAGGTAAGCTAAGGGAGTGTACGAAAGAATAAAAAATGGCAAGACTGGTAACGTAAAGAAGCAGAGTCAGAGTGTTATTACCGACAAAGGCAAGGGAGAACGTAATGGACATTTCTGGCTTACTAGCCGTCGTCAGCTATTCAAACCCAACACCGAAGTGTGGAATACACGAGGCTCGAACTGGCGACTTGTTGGTTTGACGTCCACGCCTCTAACCGCTGGGCCGCGAGCCAGTTGTCCGGTCGTTTTCTACCGGGAATATAAACTGGTAGGAGGCGCTCACCGATCGTTCTTACGGAACTCAGTCGTTCCGTCTATGTCGATAAGGACATTCTGCCTATATCATGCGCCGCTATGCGGCTGGATGTTGGGCTCGAGAGAAAGCCCGTAAGTTACAACGAACGAGTGAGTTCCGTAAGACGATCGGTGATGGACGGGCTTACGCAGCCTCTATCCCGACCCCGCTTCTTGCTCATCAGCCTCTGTTGGCAAGAAAGTGTTGAGTCAACCGGAGGTCGGCTTGATGCAGGAACTGAGAAAGTCAAAAAGCTAGTCTACGCGTGTTTCACGACCATGTCGCCGCATAATCTATTCGCAGGTAGTACCGGCTTGGATAGTGCGCCCGTGGGAGTGCAATAGAGACTACATTAGGAGGCGGCCACAATCCGTCAACCAGTCACTCCACATACGCATCATATACTACCTGCACATACTGCGTTCTCATCTCAGTTGGCAGCGTTTCGGAATTATAATTAGTGAAGAATTCTCTGATTGGCCATGGGAGTGGATTACAACCGTCGGCCTCAATCTCCCTTCAGTCTTCCACGCTCAGGTCGACTATCCGGCCTGATTATGATGAAGATGAGTGGCTGGCCGTACAAAACAGTCCGCTTCTCTGCTTACACAAACAATGTAACGAAAGACACCAGGATATATCAAGTCCCGTTTTCATCAAGCCGACGCATGTCATCGTTTAATTACTTTGACGTCCTTTGTTTTGTTAGAACTGCGCTGTCTTGATGGAAGCATAGGTCATCATCACTGTGGTCGGATAAAACCTCTGACAGGCTGACGGCTTTCCCATGCGCCGATGCCAACTCCAGCAGACATCTGCACCTTCCCGCAGCTCACAAATTCCAACGTCATCACGCAAGTGGAGCTCAGGACCAAGAAACCACGATGGTCTTGAGAAGGCCCTATATAGACAGGTCGACGGCGAGTCTACTAGGTGAGAAAGAACAAGAACCACCAGACCTACCACCCGAAGAAGGTTTAATTACTACCATCCAACGAATCGGTGACTCACAAAGCACAAAGATAAAGCACCCGCCGACCATCCTCGAGAGGCCGAGTCCGCAGGAGGAAAGGAAAATCGATCAGCATGAGATCGACCAATGCGACATGTCACTTGAAATTTCTAGTCCTTTAAGTGCAATTTTCGCCTTGACAAAGGGAACACACGAACATTTTTTGAAACGTCAACATCTAAATGAGCCTGTTTCGTGAGCAGTCTCATTCAAATCATCAACCCGGATCTCTTGACTTTGCCAATCTGAATAGAAAAGACAGCCTGCCGCACCCTTGAAAGTCTCACATTGTAAAAAACGTTTCCCGTAAACAAATATGTTAACGCCGAATTTCAATCCTGGGTTTAGGAGAAAAACTGTTATTGTGCATCCTTTCTACAAAAGGTTTTTTGACTGTACGAAGTCTTAAAAAGGGGAAAATCTTTGAATAGAATTGTTGACAAAAAGATAGCTCAGTAGTTTCATCCGACAGATCCATCTTCGAAAGGTATATTGTGTTCGTTTGAATCTCTTGAACCGGTCTTTTTTCCATCTGTAGGTGTATGTTAAGACCATGAAAACGGACAGTTTTAATCGTAAACTGTCCAGACGACTCTGTTTGCGACCATTGTGTCTAGTTGAGTTCACTTCTGTGGCCAACGAAGATCCAGGTGTTGGACTGCAACCGTCGGCGAAACACCTGGAATGTGAATGCACAACCCTTCCCACACTACTCAAACCCGAGGGCAGCTCAGCCGATTTGCCAAAAGGAAGGTAAAATTAAATATAGTTGCTTTGGTCTAGACGGGGCTCGGCCAAGAGCGGCTGTCAATCTCAAAGTGGGGTTGCCTTCCTGCGTCCACGAAATGTGATCCCTAGTTGTTTCTACCATGGTCTACGTGGTCGGAGGCCAGTTAGCACAAGAAGGGCAACAGATGATACCCGACTTCTGTCCTCCCTTTAAAGGAACCCTGGTGCTCCTGACTCGACTGCGCCGTCGGCCTTCGAGCCTAGAACAATACATAAGGTGATATCAGGGCGCATCTGATGATAGGAGTGCGCGTCCCGTCCGAAGTCTTCTCCCATCCCCGTCTCCCCCTGATTGCTTC